AAAAGTGATCTGCTCCGTGGACAGGCCCCCCATGGGCTCGAAGCAGTCGGCCAGGGCAGAGCGAGCCAGAAAGACCGCCCAGGCCGCGCCCATGACGGGGGCGACCGGCCCCACACCCAGAGCACCTGCGGGTGGGGCGGGCAGCGCCACGCCAGCCTCTGCCGCAAAGGCGACCAGCTCCTCGGGCACAACCCCCTCTAATGCGAAATGCTCCGCAAGCCCGTCCGCCCACCTGAACCTGTAGAACCAGTCGGGCACATCCCCTTGGAAGCTCCCCAGCACACGGCCCTTCAGGATGCCGTTCGTCAACTCCAGGTCGGACAAGGCAGACGGCGACCCCAGCGGGGTCCACGGGGGCCGCCGAAAGGAGGTTCACCTGCCGAGCGTCCCAGATGAGGCGGGACTTGACCACGTCTCGCCCATTCTCGCTCACGTCCTTGGCCACGCAGAACAGCCCCGCGGCGTGCTTCACCTCCTTGACGTACTGGACCATACCTGATTGCATCCAGCCAGGGTCGGAGTTGCTCTTGATGCCCTTGTACTTTTCCCAGTCCACCTCCTTGGGGCCCTCCAGCATCCGACTCTCGAAGCGCCCCGGGTAGAGCGCCGCGGCCGTCGAGAGGGCCACCAGCGGTAGGCCCGCGGCCCCTGGGGGCGGCGCCGAAACCTGGCCCGCCACCACCCTGCAGAGGTCGTCCTTCTGGATAAACACAGTAGATGATGTAGCCTGCTTCTTCCCGCGCCCTCCGCCTGCCGCGTGGCCCGAGCTGTCGGGCCCCCGCAGACGGCGAAGAACCGCCCTGCCGCCGTCGATGCCCCCCCCGCGCTCCGAGAGCGGCGCGGCGGCCCCAGATGTCGTAGACAACCTTGCGCTGTAGCCCAGTTGCTTCCGCCCACGAGCTCAGCACAGCCGCCCCATCGGCCATGCCCACTCGCCCCGAGGCCAGAGCACGAAGTGTTCGGGCCGTCCGACAGGTGCGCAGCCAGGTCAAACGTAGCTGCTCCGTCGTGAAGCCCGAGCTCGACGCCCGCGCCGCCAGCGGTGCCGTCGGCGCGGGCAGGCTCCGAAGCGGGCCCCTCTCTCGGAAGTCAATCGCCATCGGGGGCGCGGAAAACGAAACACCTGCTCACCTGGGGCACGACGTGAACGCGGTGCAATGATGTAGCTCAGGTCCGCGATGCACAAGACACGGCCCGAACTGAATTCGCCCCGCAGCCCAGCGTTAACTCGGCAGGCGGGGCCCAGCACGGCAAGCCCCAGGACCTTGACTCTCCTGCTCAACATTCGGCCTGGCGATCTCCCCGCTGACGATCCCAACGCGGCGCATATCCGCAGGAGTGAGCACAGCAGTGCGAGACTTGCCCAAGGGACGCCACTCCAAAGCGCGCCCTCGGGCCACCCCTATTCGTCACCCTTGGGCGCCGCGTCCCGCGCCGACGACGGGTGCTTCTGGATCTGCGCCCTCTTCCTCAGCTTGTCGGTCACCTCGTCGTCGGCCAGGGGGTCCTCGATGGTGTCCTGCGACGTCAGCCGCAGGTGTTCCTCCCCGAGGGGCCAGTCCACCTTCGACTGCCACTTGGCTCCGCTCGCATTGCGAGGCCTCTTCCAGTCGCGCCCACAGGTGACCCCCTCGTAGGCCTTCATGATCGCGTACATCCTGAGGCAACTGAGCTCACTCGCCTGCGAGTTGATCAGGCCCTTGAAGTCCCCCGAGGCCATCATGCGGTCCAACGTCATGGCGAGGACCAGCATTTCGTTGGCGATGGGGGCCCGCGTCAGCTTCTTGCTCCTCAGCCACTCCTGGACCTCGATCTTCGCCGAGCGCCCCCCCCGGTAGACCTTGCTCAGGACCGTCGGGGCCACCCGAGATTTCATCCGCCCACCCGCATATTGGGCACGTGCTCGTAGCTCTTCAAAGTCTGGATGAGGGCATCCCTGGGGTTCTTGCTCTCCAGCTCCAGCTGCGCGATCGTGTCCGAGACGGAGTCCGAGGGGGCGGAGGGGAGCCGTTCCCACTCCGACTCAGAGGCAGACTTGCCCGCCTCGCGATCGCCCCCCTTCGTCCCCTGGTCCGAGCCGCTCTTCACCAACTCCTCGTGTTCGTTCAGCTCGGCGATGAGCTGGCCCGGCTGCGCCGCCGTGGGCGCGGGGCTCTGGCCCGCCGAGCTGGAGGCGGCAGCCGCGGGCGCAGCTGGAATCTCCGCCCTGGACTGCTTCAGCGCCTCCGTCACGGCCGACGGCCCCGCCCGCAGCTCGCTCTGGCCACGCTGCAGCTCCGCGCACAGACCCTTATAATTGGCGTCGGGCTCGTCGTTCGAGTCGGGAACAGTGGCCCCGAGAACCAGCTCGCCCTCCGAGACGTCCGACTCCGAGTCTGTGTCCGAGAGCCCTTGCCACCGTCGGAACACGTAGTTCAGGGCCCACGCGCCGAGAATCACGCCGCCGAGCCCCATCAGGACCGCCTCGAGCTCACCCGACTCCCAGGCCTCCAGGAGGGCCCCCCCCAGTAGTCCGACACCTCCTCCGCCGCCCCCTTTGCGGCCGCAGCCGCCTCGTACATCCTGAGGCGCAAGGGGCCCGGGTGGAAGCGCCGCCAGATCCGCCATGCTGCGACAGCCCCGCCCGCGAGGCCCCCCCCACGAGCGGTGAACCCACCCATAGCAGAACAGGTTCGACCCCATGGCCCAGGCCCAGCTCACCAGCCCAACCTTGTTTCGAGACCTTCTTCTTCCCGCTCGACTTCCAGAAGCCTCACCTTGCCGTTCTCGGCGCCCAGCTCCTTCCGTGCGATCAGTCGCGAGGAAGCCGCCAGCGCCATGTCCTAGTCTTGTCCGTCAAGCCAGGGAAGGGCGCCCGCGTGCTGATGCCGCGCGGCGGCTTCGTAAACACGGACTGCTCGTCCTTCGAGCACGCGATCTGGACCCTGAGGCGTGGATCGACGCAGGTCCACGTCTGGTCGGCGGCCTTGCCGACGCGCTCCACCAGCAGCACCACCACGCCCGAGCCTTGGCCCTTGGGCAAGTAGCACACCCTATTCCATTGCGCCCACCCGCCCATGGCGAGCGGTGGGCTGCCCACGATTCCGATGTCGGCGGCGTCGTTGACCAACTCGACCGTCTCCGACGCGGCGGCCTCCTCCGCCACGTCCTCGCCCTCGTCGCCCGCGTTCTCGTCCTCGAACCTCAAGCCGAGGAAGTCCAGGACCTGGTCCTGGCTCAGGCCACCGCCCGCGGCCAGCACTTCCTCCTGGAGGTCGCCCGAGAGCCCCAGGAGCGCGAGCGCCGCGCCCGCGAAGGCGAATGGCCGCGGAATCGCTCCGCGGTGGGTGGCCGTGCACAAGCACGACCGCAGAAAGGTCCGCCCGCGGGTCTCCACGCGCCGACTTCGAGCCCGAAAGGGACTGGAGGGAAGGAGGGAATATAGGCGGCAAACAGACTACGATGGGGATGCAACGTTAAGTTTAAGAACCAATAGTTGTGAGTGCCGTGGCTGGGAGTATTGTCTTCGGTGGGGCTCCCAGTGGCTCCCAGCAAGGCGACGACACATGTGAGAAATTGGGGTGCAACTGCATGCGAACCCTGCAATTGTGGCCTTCGGTAGAGCTCCCTAATCGGGCCACGAGCCGTGTGAGGGGCACGCCGAAATGGGGGGTGGAACTGCACGCAAACCTTCCAACTTGAACCTTCGGTGGAGCCCCCTATGGGGCCACGGACCGTTCAAGGGGTACGCCGAAATGGGGGGTGGCACTGCGTGCGAACTTCCCCTCTGGGGCTTTGGGTGGAGCTCCCTATGGGGCCACGACCCGTGTAAGGGGTGCGCCGAAATGGGGGGGGTGGAACTGCGTGCGAGCTTTCCCACTGGGGCCTTCGTTGGAGCTCCCTATGGGGCCCCTAACCGTGTGAGGGGTACGTCGCCACGGGGGGGGGAACTGCATTCGAACTTTTCCGCTGGGTGGAGCTCTCTACGAAGCCACGAACCGTGTGATGGGTGCGCCGAAATAAGGGGTGGAACTGCATGGGAACTTCCCCACTTGGGACTTGGGTGGAGCTCCTTATGGGGCCACGAAGCGACTGAGGGGTGCGCCGAAATGAAGGGTGAAACTGCGTGCGAACTTTCCCACTGGGGCCTGCGGTGGGGCTCCCTATGGGGCCACGAAGCGAGTGAGGGGTGCGCCGAAATTGAAGTGGAACTGCATGCGAACTTTCCCACGGGGGCCTTCGGTGGGGCTCCCTATGGGGCCACGAAATGTGTGACGGGCATAAAGGGGTGGGAGGAGCGGGGGAAAGGGGGAGGTGGAGGGGAGAAGAGGAGAGGAGAGAAGAGGAGAGGAACGCGAGGCACTGCCTCTTAAAAACGAGGACCCAACACCAGAGGATGGTTGGGAATTCAGTACACCAGGGAAAAAACCCAATCAGTGGATAGTTTGAAAATCGTGATACGGATATTGAAACCTATTGCGAACTCGATAATGGAATCGATAGTGAGGATGATGGTAGGGCCGATCGTGAGACCGACAGTGAACTCGATTCAACGAGATCAATACTGAGATCGATCGTGAGATCGCTTGTGCGATCTATAGTGAGATGTTTTGTGAGATCGATAATGATATCGATAGAGAAATGTGTAATGATATCAAAAGTGAGACCGGTCGGTTATAAGATCGACCAAAAAAACCCGAACCGGGGAACCCCGCCGCCCACCGAAATCGGCGGGGAACCCGGAACTGGGAACTGCGGAGCTCGGAACCGGGAACCCAAGAACCTGGCCGCCTGCCCTCTGCCCACAACTTTCGCCAAATCCGTCAATATCCGTTACGACCCCTTCAGTGCACTGATTGGGGAAAAACGATCAGAAGAAACGCAGGGGCGGGGCGGAGGAGGAGGAGTAGGAGGAGGAGGAGGAGGATTACTCGACGCCCGACCCCCTCTGGGAGACCCATCGCCCACTCTGGGAGACGCAGCGCCGGGGACGGGGCTGTTTCGCAGCCGCGCGGGCGGTCCTGGCCCGCCTCGGGCTCCAGGCCGCTCTGCTCCACCCGCTCCACGACGACCGGGGCCCGCGCCTGCCGCGGGACTCGCCACTGCCCAGGCTTCCACTCGGCGGCGAGCGAGGGGGGGAAATGAGAAGGATAAGACCTTCTTAGAAGGAGAAGGCCTTCTCAGAAACCTTCGCGCATTTTGAGAGAAACTTCTATAGGCGGTGGACAAACTTCCCTTTAATAAACCAACCTTTAGTGAAAACGGCCTGAGACCGAAACCGACGGACCTGGACCAACAAAAATGACGGCCGCGACGCCCTCTCACGAACCGAAAACGGCCACTTCGCTCATCGATGTGTCAGGGTAGGAGGTCTAGCAACCTCCGATTCTAAGAAGGCGCGAGGGCTTCTGAGAAGTCCCGCCACCTCCTGGGAAGGCTTTCTCCTTCTCATTTTCCCCCCCTCGCTCGCCGCCGATGGATTGCCCAAGCGTCCAGGCTCTTGGGAGGTCTTCGTCAGACTGCCTGCCCGAGTCACCGGCCAGAAAGCCGAATGGGGCTGGGTGAAGCCCGAGGCACGCAGCGGAGATGCAAGCGCCGATGCTGAAGTGGCGCTCCCAAGAGTTGCATCCTAAGCTCTAGGCCAAGGGCCTCGTGGCTTGGTGGGCACACGCGGCACATGCGAGTCCTACCCCCATGCGGGTCTGCTTTTGCTGGAAGAGCCCTTGCGATGTCATAATTCAAACAATCCCTCTTTAGCGGGTGGTGTCGGGCACCCACCAACGTCGGTGACATCGCCGGGGTACGAATCGCACGCGCGACGGGAAAGAAAGACGCAAAGGTGGATGCTCACTTAAACGCTCGCATGCGCGCGGTCCGGCACATAGGATGAGAACGCTACTCTTGTCGTCCCCAGCGTCTTGATCGGAACAAAGATGCCAAGAATAACCCCAACAAAATACGACCCTGAGCAGACAAACACTTCAGCGGCATCACGGAGTACAAGGGCGAAGTCACGCAAAGAAAAGAAAGACATTGGCGTTCTTGCCTCTTCCACTTCCCGACGCGCCAAGACGGCCCAAGAGGCCCCCAAGATCGCCCCGAGACGGCCCTAGAGGCTCCCAAGAGGCCCCCAAGATCGCCCTAAGACGGCCCAAGACGCCTCCAAGACGGCCAAAAAGGCGAACGGACATTTCGAGCTCTCAGCCCCAAGAGGCCCCCAAGAGGCCCCGAAGAAGCCCCAAGAGGCCCCAAGAGGCGCCCAAGGGGCCCCCAAGCTGCCCCAAGACAGCCCAGGAGAGCCCCAAATTGCCCAGGAGGCCTCCAAGAGTGCCTCGAGACGGCGCAAGAGGAGCCCTGGACGGCCCAAGACGGCCTCAGGCGAGCCACAGGCTGTCCCAAGAAAGCCTCTGGCCTCCTCCTCTTCCTCCTCCTCCTCCTCCTCCTCCTCCCTCCTCCTCCTCCCCCTCCTCCTCCCCCCCTCCCCTCTGCTCCCCTCCTCCTGCTCTCCTCTGCATCCTTCTCCTCCTCTTGGTTCTCCTCCACATCCTTCTCCCCCCCCTCCTCTCTCATCCACCTCCTCCACCCTGCCCCCCCTCGCGTTTTCATCTTCGTCGCTCTCAGGGTCGGCGGCAACAGCCGTAAGGCCTTCGCAATACAAGGGCGAAGACACGCAAAGAAAATGTGGAATCATATGCGACTGTAGATGATAGTGATATTAGGCTCGACGAAAAACTGAAGTGAAAGCGCGACTTCAGCAACAACGGGAAGTACAATTATGACTTTGGCAAGACGCAAACACATTCGCCCCACGAACAATGGCAACAGCCGCGGCACATCGCCGTAATGGCGCGAAAAGCGCTCGCTGAAAGGAATGAGATTTTCTCAACGCCACGCCGCGCCCTGGGCCCCGGGGCCCAATGGCGCCCCGCCGCCAGAAAGTCCTCCCGGCGCGCGGCGCCGTGGCCTCTGATCTTCGAAGGATGCGTGCCGAAGTGCCCCCAATGTCGCCCACGTCGGCGGGCCCGCTGCGACCTGGCTCCCGCACGCGGACCTGCGAGAGGTCACTCATCGACCGCCTTTGCACATTAACACGCGGGTGATGGGGATCGGGAGAGGGGGCATGCCGCGCGGCGCGCGCGCAGAAGATTGGGGACTGGAGCTAGCTCTGGCCGCCCTCTCGCGTCGGGCGCGTGGCGTTCGCTCCGGCGAGCCTCAGAGCCCCCCGCCGCGATCTCGCGCGGGGCGCGGGGCGCGAACGATTGCACGAGCAGTGGCTGCCAGTGACAATATGTCTTGCGCACGCAGGCGATTGGGTCGACGCGCATCGCCCGCGCTCTGACCGAGTGTTGTCTTTTGCGAACACGTACCGCCGAAGGCACTTCCTATCATTTCGCCTCGTGTTGCGCGAATGTTTTCCCGAGAACACCTCCCTCCTGCGCTCTCGACCCGCGCGGGGCGCGACCGGTCTCTCCCCGCAGCGGCGACCTGCGCCCATGACTCGCGCGGAGCGTGAGCGATTGCCTTGTCTTGCGAACTGCAACTGCCGCCTGCAATCGCCGCCGGTGCCTGCCCTTCGCGCCGAGGGGGCGACATTTGTCGCCGAACGCACTGCCCCGCGTTCGCTGCTCGCGCGGAGCGGGCGCAAGCGATTTCCCGAAGCAGCGGCGACGCGGGCCCTCCCGCGCGGGGCGCCATCGATTTTGCTCTGCAGTGGCGGCATGCGCCCTTCATTTGTGCGCTGCGCTCCTGTTGTTTGTCGAATAAGAGAACTTCTCAGTACCATTGTGTTATCAATAGATGTTGCTCGTGTGTATTGCCAATCACGGGGGCAACGCCGCTTCCGAAATGCATGGCTCCGCGTTCCTCTCTCTTGGGCGGGGCGCGCGCGATTCCTTGGGGGTTCGGCAACATGCTCACTCAACCCGCGCGTGGAGCGTTCGATCTCCCTCGGCGTGGAGAGCTGCGCCCTGACATAACTGGCGCGAAGCGCGCATTTGGTTATTCTTGCTGCGCGAAACAGCCGTCAGGGGGACGACTTTATTCGCGACAAGTGCGGCCCATGGTACTCCTCCCGCTCGGCGCGCGAGCGATTTCTCTGGAGAGCAACGGCGACCCACGGCCTCCCCTTGCGCGGGGCGCGACTAATTTTACTGGCAGTGGCGACCTGTGCTCCTAAGTCACGCAATGCGCGGGCTTCTTGGTTTCGATTGAAAATGCCCCGCTGGCATCCGTCAGCGCGCGCTCGCGTCGCCGCGGGGGCGATACCTCGACGCGAACTGCGCGTTCCCTCGCTCCTCTCCCGCGCGGAGCGCGAACAATTCTTTGGCGAGTTCGACCTGGCCTGGAGACGTTACCCCGCGCGGGGCGCGCGATCTTCGGCGAGCTCCCCTTGGCGTGGAAATGCTGTCTCGAGCGGATGGCGAGCGATTCTTGCGAGTTCTCCTCGGGGCCGCGCTTCAATCGGCATCGCCCGCGCCCCGGCGGGGCAGCGCGACGCCGCGCACGGAGCAAACGCTGGATCGGGGCGGGCCGGGGCGCTGCGGGACCCAGCGCGCGCCCTCGGCGCCCGGGCCCACGCACGCAGGACTGGACAGCATGACGCGGGCCCAGGAAGGCGCCCGAGGCGGCGGAGCCGCGGCCGAGGGACCCCGGACCGACCGCCGATCCGAAGTTAGACAAACGCAAGTGTTGTCCCCCCCAACAAAATTAACAACTCCGGCGCGGATTTGGAAGTTCGGCAAACTTTTGGACACCTATGCGCGCCGATGTGTACGTGTGATTCATTATGGAGAGACGTTAGTCACACAAACTTTGAACAAAGTCTGAACAAACGCATTGATCAAAATTTGGTAACTTTTGCACTAATCTGAAAATTGCGAGCGTGGCTGAGCTGAGGTGGGCTTCCGCGGTGCGGATTATGATTGCGTTGTTGTTGTTGGTTATTGTCTCACTCGCGACTCTCGATGATCCACAGAACGTGTGTTAACGCAGACGTGCGTTTGTCCACCAAAGCCCTTCGGTAACTCACGCGTGGTGTAACCACGCATTGGCGCGCGTCAATGAATGTCGCGGCACGCTCGTGGTTCGCAAGTGCTGAGCGTGAAGTTGCGCAGGGAGCACACGGGTGACTCAAAGTGGGCTGACTGGAACAATATATGTCTCTCGCGAGAGATGGTATGCAGCGTCCTACTGTTTACGGATGGTACTGCGATGGAAACCGTTATCAAGATAGACACGCCTGTTGGCGTTATGATCCGCGCCGTTGGAACTCGGACGGTCTCCTCCCCGCTCCCCGCTCTTCCCAATTCTCGCCCAGCCCGCCCACTCCTCACTTCTCCGCGCTCCTCCAACCATTCGCTTGTTCGAACTCTTTTCCACTCCTCCACGCTCCTCTGCAGTCCTCCATCGTCCACGCCCCTCTCGTCCTCAGCCCTCCGTGGCGTTCCCATTCATCTTCACGCGGCTGGGTGGGGCAACGGGCCCCAGGAGGGCAAACCCCATCATCATCATCATCATCATCATCATCATCATCATCATCATCATCATCATCAGCAGCAGCAGCATCATCATCATTATCATCATCAACATCATCATCAGCATCATCATCATCATCATCACCCGCATCATCATCAACAACATCATAATCACAATCATCTTCATCTTCATCTTGGACATCATCAGCATCATCATCATCAGCAGCAGCATCATCATCATTATCACCATCATCAACATCATCATCAGCATCATCATCACCCGCATCATCATCAACAACAACATCAGAATCACAATCATCTTCATCTTCATCTTGGACATCATCATCATCATCATCATCATCATCATCATCATCATCATCATCATCATCATCATCGCGCCCGTCCCCCCACTCCCATCCGCAAATGCGGGGCGTTACATTCATAAAGAAAAGAATGGGAACCCGTCGGCGCCAAGGGTGGCCCCTGGGCGCCCCGTCGCTCGCCCTGGCGTCGCCCGCCAGCGCCCCGGCATTGCCCGGGCGCTCCAGGAGGGTCCGCCCGCGCGCATCAGCCAGAACGTGCGCCCAACGGCTGGGAGACGCGGGACGCGC